ATTTACATGAATTCATATGAACTCAAAAACAAAAAAACGGATGAGAGCTGTATTGCTAATACTTACCTAGCACCCCAAAAATGACAACGAAATTTATTGCCATGTTGAGGAAGATTGATGAAGAACTAAGCCTTAATCCTGCCAGCAATAGGAAAGAAGAAAGCTATATTTCTGGGGCAGGAATTAAGACTTCTGTTTAATCTGCCGGGCTTGAAGAGTAGCACTGGAGCAGTTTTATTGACTTCTCTTCTTTGGAATCTAAAGTCGCTGCAGTTAACTTGAGCTATTGAGAGCATGATGCTGTCTGTACGTTCTAGTGATTTTGTATGCCTGATTGCTGTGCTGATGTTGCTTTATCAAATTATTAGTTGTCATTTTAACTTTTCTTTGCTACATATACATAATTAATTCACTCTGCATGGGTCGCTTTTATATCAACTCGCAGCGCACACCAATCTGTCTTAGTCTAGCTGTATTTGACCAGACTACTTGCAAATAACATTACGTGACTACGGTATTTGTCTTAACTTGGTTGGAGGGGGTGACGAAGTTAAAGACGAAATATATATTTGTGATAGTGTATTCACCTATTATAAAATTATCATGTAGTTATCCTATCGTTTTATCAAAATAAAAAAGACACAAAGAATTCTTAACCAAGCTTTTGTCTTTTATAACGGTTAAACAAAACAAAATGCAAATAAACAAAGGGAAAAGAAAAAGTTGCTCGGTCTTTTACTGGACTAGGACAGAATCGCTAGCATTGTGCCATTAGTTAAGGGGGTAGCTTTATTGTCTGCGATTGTCATCCAGGTGAGCTGCTGAGGCCAAACACTTAGTCGTGTGGCGCTTTACGCTTTACTTTGGTTCACTGATATGTCTGACCAATCTGGTCTTTGCATCCATAATATCGCATCGAAACAGAAACAGAGGGGGAGAGGGAGGTAATTACTTGGTAAGCATCCATCACATAATCCCAAAAGCCAAAAAAAAAACAAAAAACAAAAAACAAAGTGATGTGCCCCAGGATCAATGGAAAAGCAATACCACCACCAGACTTGGATTACGATGATTTAGAGGACAAAACAGAGGGGAGAAGGAGGTGAGAAGAGAGATGATATTACAAACATTAAGAATCTACTATGGTATCCCCAAAGTGCTTTGATTAATTATATAGCATCAATAATTCATTTCGGACACAATCTCAAACTTAATGTCTTTTGATTAGTGGTTTGGAATGATTGTCATAATGAGTGTAAAAAATTTGTGTCCACTATGAATAAAAAAATACAATTCTCTTTTATGTTCTCTTCTATTGATAGATTCTCAAACAAAGAGATATCTTTCATCAACTACGAATTTTATTTCAGCGATTCAAACCGTTTAATTTTTAAAGCTTTATTCATAGATTATGTCTGTAAAAAATTAGACAAACTGAAAGCCATTATGACATATGGTTGTGAGCAATAAAATAGACGAACATGGTGCTTCAAGAAAATACTAAAAGGACAAAAAATTAAATAAATAAATAGTTTCAAATTCAAGTGATTTTCTGCAAAGATGATCTTTGAAGGGCTACTAAAAAATAGATTGTTCAGATAACTAAAATACAATACATAACAGACCCCTCAAGGATGTTCTCAAATAAAAATCCCTAAATTGAAGCTCTATGATAGAAAACAACAGAATAACATACAAGAAAGATACTCAACAAACCACTGCTGGGGGCTTCTTGTCTTCAACTGCCTTCTTGGCTTTGGAACTTATGGGAACTCCTCCAGAGGTAAAGGCAAAGCAGTGTTACGAAATAAGACAATGGAGGAGTTGTGTAGTTTTGGGGTTCTGTTATCTCAATTTTAAGACTCATTTGGTTTTTGAGATATGTTGTGATTTTAGCGTATAATATTATATATGTGTTTTTTTATATAAACGATATACTATTTTAATTTAATATAAATTACAAGGACGGGGATTCAAATTCGAGTGCAAAGTGAAGTGCACATCCTCTCTAGCCAACTTGACTTAGCTCATGTCTACAAAGATACTCGTTTTATAACGTGAGTAGATTGATAACATTACATGGTGATATGATTGTTACATTATGTGACTGGAGAGAATCTGCTATTCTATTCCTACCACGTGGCTTGTTTATATTAACCCACATGGCATGAACAATCTCCTGTAAATTTTTCTCCTGAGGCTAGAGCGCGTGAAGTACACGCAAAACAAGCAAAAAACCAATTAAAGGCAGAGAGAGAAAAAAATTAGCAACGTCAAGTCACTCTCGTTGCCATGTCACTCTTATCTGAGTGAGCTCCACAAACTTTTAAATCAATGAGTCTCAAATCAAGAATGATGTTTCTAAATAATTTTTTAGCCTCCTCAACAATTCAATTACATTTCCACAAGAAAAAACAAAGAAAAAAAAAAAAACCACTCAATTAGATTTGTAGTGGTTGCTGATGGTGATATGAAGCTGAATATAAACCAACCACGTGCTCATTTTACGTATTGACTTATTTTCCAACTCATGGCCATATGATTTGATTGGTTGAGATACATTACAGCTCAAGTAATTTTTTTTCCCTAAAACATCTTCATATACTTCAAAAACGTTTTTTCTAGTTCCATTGGGAGGAAAGACAACTCTGGAGTTTCGAACTTGGGTGCCAAGTATGGGAGAGGGAAGGGCCACAACCACTGTAGTAAACCCACTTGACTACTTCCAGCGGCGGAGCCACCATAGGGTCAATGGGATCATACGATCCCATGACAGCCATGGAAATAGGCTTGGAGGTCCCTATTTGCCGGTGATGCGACCCTATGCACAGAAGCTGTTCGATAAAAGTCCTAAAGGACAGCCATGAGAATAGGCTTGGAGGTCTTTTTGCATGAAGGCCTTGCAGCGCTGTGAGCCTGTTTTGTTTTTAAATCGCCTGGAAAACGACGTCGTTCTGCAGGCTCTTCAATTTTTTTCATGACTGACCTCAAAACTTGGTCGTTTTGAGCCAACAAAAAAACAAAGGCACCCACCAAACGTTAGTCTTTACCCGACTCCACACACCCCAAAAATTCCCAAATTATTTCACACTCCCACTCCCTCCCAAACACTAAGCACCAACCCCCACCACCCTTAATTCCCAATGACATGGATGGTTTCTTAGATGAGAACCCAGAGGTCCTTCACACTCTTCGAATAAGGGTAAAACCTGAAAGTTTTTTGTTCTGTATTATCTCTTTTTAATTCTTCTTGTTTTGAAACGCTTGTAGAATTGTAATCTTTTATATGTTAGACAACCATTATCTATGGTTTCAAATTCAAATTCATTCCAGGCTTTGGCTAAGGCTTGCTAGCTTTTTTTGGACATGTTCAACTTCATTTGATAAGGTTGTAGTTTGACTTTCAAATACCTACCGTGCAAATAGGGGATTGATGTAATATGTTACCTAGTGTACTCAACTTGTGCAATATAAATATCCAGCTCGATCACAATGATGGTTTGCTAATTTGATCAAAACTCTTCCCTGTGAAGTTCATTCTTTCAGTATACTTGTTCTTGACTTGGCTAGAAAAGTTCCCTCCAAGTCGTTTCTAACACTGGAAAGTAGGTTTTGTGTGTTTGATTAGTTGAAAGTGTTATTATTTAATTTTTCAATGGTTTTTTTTGTTTTTTTGTTTTTATAAAAAAATCATAATTTTTACACTATGAGCTCATGACTTAAGAATTCTAGATCCGCCACTGACTACTTCAAACACTTTTTAGAAACTTAATTAGCCCCTTTTTGTGACTTTTGTTTTTGTTTTTGTTTTTTACTTTAAAATTTTAATTAAAGGTGAAAAAGGGTAAATGAGAGGATAGTGAGAAGAGAGATGATTCCTTGAAGATACATAGCTTACAGACTATTGTTGTCATTAATAATCTCCTATGTACACACTACTAAAAAAATAATAATAATAATCGATGGGTATGGGTATTGATGCTCATAAAAGGGGTTTGTATTGGTATTTTGGTGCTCAATAAGCTATGTCACATATACTGTAACAACCCGGTCTTTAATTAATATTTAATTATTAATTTATTCCAATAAAATATCATTATATCCATAGAATATTTTAATGATTTAAAACTTGACTTTTTGACCGGGAAGGAATTTGGGGATTTCGGTTATGCCGTTGCGTAGATCGCAGCGAGATGAGTCCGTAGACACATAGTGGGCTCAAATCGAAGTTGTAACTAGGGCTGGCAATGGGTCGGGTCGTGTCGGGTTTGTATCGTGTCGGAATATTAAACTTGTCAAGAATGCTCAACCCAAATCCAACCCATTTAATAAACGTGTCGTGTCAGGTTCGGGTCGTCTTTTATCGTGCGGGTTTCGAGTCGTGTAACGGGTTGATAAATAATAACATGCATGTTACAAAAGTCACAATTGAAAAAATTTAAATAAAAAAAACGGAGAGAGGAGAGAAAATATAAGGAAAAGAAAGAAAAAAAAGGATAGAGAGAGGAGAGGAGAGAAGGAAAAGAAAAAAAAAATATAGAGAGAGAGAGAAGAGAGAAGGAAATAAATAAAAATAAAAAAGAGAGGAGAGAAAACCAAAGAGAAGTAAAAAAAAAAGAGGAGAAAAGAGAGAAGGAAAATAAATTAAAAAAGAGAGAGGAGAAGATAGACGGAAAAGAAAGAAAAACAAAAGAAGAAAAAGAAACATTATAAATATCAAAAGGCATAGTATATAATCACAAAGTTGTATCTAGCATGGTGGATAAGGTGTTCCATTTTGTTTGCCGTTTGTAATATATGTTCAAATCATGAAGTTTACTCTCTTTACATGCCAGACTCTAGAAAATTCAATTCCTATGAAGTAGTAATTACAATAGTCTGTACCCTTTTTCATCTCTGTCCTGACTTTCTATTAGTTGGCCTTTTCTTTTGCTTTGGCTTTGTTATTTGAATGATTGTTTAATTGGCCTCTAATCTGAATTTGTTTTGTTGCATTAGGGGTTTATAAAAACAATGGCTACCTGATGGTTTCATGCAATGGGGGACTCAATCAAATGAGAGCAGCGGTGAGTGGCTAGCAATTGTTTGCTGTGCATATTAACAGGAGTTCGTCCTTGGTGATCAAATTACGTTACTTCTTAGTGCATGCAGCTGCTTACCAGTTTCAATTTTTCTTTCTTGGTCGTGATGTATACAGATATGTGACATGGTTGCTATTGCAAGATATTTGAACGTCACTCTCATTGTCCCTGAGCTTGATAAAACCTCCTTTTGGGCTGATCCCAGGTGTGCCAATATATCTCTCCTACCATTTTCAAGTCATTGAGTGTTTTTCAAATTATAAAAGGATGGTTGTTTTTCTTCGACTCAGTATTACACCACTTCTTACCAAATAACGGTTATATGTTTCTTGATATTGCAGTGAGTTCCAAGACATATTCGATGTGGATCATTTCATCACATCCTTGAGAGATGAAGTTCGCATATTGAAAGAGTTGCCTCCGAGGGTTAAGAGGAGAGTGGCACTAGGAATGATTTATACCATGCCACCAATTAGTTGGTCTGACATGTCTTATTATCATAATCAGGTCAGTCCCTCTTGTCGTTCTTTATAACTTGATAAGAAGTTTTCTGTGAAACCTCATCATATTCCTTATTCTTTCTCTCAATAATATATGCTACTCTTATGTTTTGTACAGATTCTTCCTTTGATACAAAAATACAAAGTGGTACATCTAAATAGAACTGATGCCCGACTTGCCAATAATGGACAACCTTTGGATATTCAGAGACTTCGATGCCGAGTAAATTTTAGTGCTCTGAGGTTTACTTCTCAGATAGAGGAGTTGGGTAAAAGGGTTATCAGGCTTCTAAGGCAAAATGGTCCGTTCCTAGTGCTTCATCTTAGATATGAAATGGACATGTTGGCATTTTCTGGCTGTACTCAAGGTTGTAACGCTGAGGAGGTGGAAGAATTGACAAGAATGAGGTAAGTTATACTTGACAATCAATGGATTCCATGCAATAAAAGAATTAATTTCACTCTCTTATACTTTCACTTGTTTGGCAGATATGCTTATCCCTGGTGGAAAGAGAAAATAATCAATTCTGACCTGAAAAGGAAAGATGGTTTGTGTCCTCTGACACCTGAAGAAACCGCTATTACACTGAGCGCACTTGACATTGATCGCGATATTCAGATTTATATTGCAGCTGGTGAAATATATGGTGCAGAAAGGAGAATGGCAAGTCTTGCAAAGGCTTATCCCAAATTGGTGAGTAGATGGAAGCTGAAGCCACCTTCTGTATTTTGTATATGGTTACTTTTTGTGTTCTGTTTTTACAAGTTACCATTGGATTTGTTCAAACAGGTCAGAAAGGAGACACTGTAGGTTCTTCCAAATCCCTAATTTTTCTTCATAATGGGTCTGTGTTATTGATTTGCGAATTTTATCCAAATACTGAAATTGATTTGATTGTGTTATTATTTTGATGAAATCAGGTTAAACAATTTAGTTATTAAAATACTATTTGATTTTTTTTTATAAGATTTTCTGTTTGGTTATTAAAAATGAATTGGTAAAGGTCCTTTTGCATGACTGACCTCAAAACTTGGCCGTTTTGAGCCAACAAAAAAAAAGGGCACCCACCACACCTCTTTACTCTTTACCCGACTCCACACCCCAGAAATTCCCAAATTATTTCACACTCCCACTCCCTCTCAAACACTAGGCATCCCTATTTGCCGGTGGTGCGACCCCATGCACAGAAGCTGTTCGATAAAAGTCCTAAAGGACAGCCATGAGAATAGGCTTGGAGGTCTTTTTGCATGAAGGCCTTGCAGCGCTGTGAGCCTCTTTTGTTTTCAAATCGCCTGGAAAACGACGTCGTTCTGCAGGCTCTTCAATTTTTTTCATGACTGACCTCAAAACTTGGTCGTTTTGAGCCAACAAAAAAACAAAGGCACCCACCAAACGTTAGTCTTTACCCGACTCCACACACCCCAAAAATTCCCAAATTATTTCACACTCCCACTCCCTCCCAAACACTAAGCACCAACCCCCACCACCCTTAATTCCCAATGACATGGATGGTTTCTTAGATGAGAACCCAGAGGTCCTTCACACTCTTCGAATAAGGGTAAAACCTGAAAGTTTTTTGTTCTGTATTATCTCTTTTTAATTCTTCTTGTTTTGAAACGCTTGTAGAATTGTAATCTTTTATATGTTAGACAACCATTATCTATGGTTTCAAATTCAAATTCATTCCAGGCTTTGGCTAAGGCTTGCTAGCTTTTTTTGGACATGTTCAACTTCATTTGATAAGGTTGTAGTTTGACTTTCAAATACCTACCGTGCAAATAGGGGATTGATGTAATATGTTACCTAGTGTACTCAACTTGTGCAATATAAATATCCAGCTCGATCACAATGATGGTTTGCTAATTTGATCAAAACTCTTCCCTGTGAAGTTCATTCTTTCACTATACTTGTTCTTGACTTGGCTAGAAAAGTTCCCTCCAAGTCGTTTCTAACACTGGAAAGTAGGTTTTGTGTGTTTGATTAGTTGAAAGTGTTATTATTTAATTTTTCAATGGTTTTTTTTGTTTTTTTGTTTTTATAAAAAAATCATAATTTTTACACTATGAGCTCATGACTTAAGAATTCTAGATCCGCCACTGACTACTTCAAACACTTTTTAGAAACTTAATTAGCCCCTTTTTGTGACTTTTGTTTTTGTTTTTGTTTTTTACTTTAAAATTTTAATTAAAGGTGAAAAAGGGTAAATGAGAGGATAGTGAGAAGAGAGATGATTCCTTGAAGATACATAGCTTACAGACTATTGTTGTCATTAATAATCTCCTATGTACACACTACTCAAAAAAAAAAAAAAAAAATTTATCGATGGGTATGGGTATTGATGCTCATAAAAGGGGTTTGTATTGGTATTTTGGTGCTCAATAAGCTATGTCACATATACTGTAACAACCCGGTCTTTAATTAATATTTAATTATTAATTTATTCCAATAAAATATCATTATATCCATAGAATATTTTAATGATTTAAAACTTGACTTTTTGACCGGGAAGGAATTTGGGGATTTCGGTTATGCCGTTGCGTAGATCGCAGCGAGATGAGTCCGTAGACACATAGTGGGCTCAAATCGAAGTTGTAACTAGGGCTGGCAATGGGTCGGGTCGTGTCGGGTTTGTATCGTGTCGGAATATTAAACTTGTCAAGAATGCTCAACCCAAATCCAACCCATTTAATAAACGTGTCGTGTCAGGTTCGGGTCGTCTTTTATCGTGCGGGTTTCGAGTCGTGTAACGGGTTGATAAATAATAACATGCATGTTACAAAAGTCACAATTGAAAAAATTTAAATAAAAAAAACGGAGAGAGGAGAGAAAATATAAGGAAAAGAAAGAAAAAAAAGGATAGAGAGAGGAGAGGAGAGAAGGAAAAGAAAAAAAAAATATAGAGAGAGAGAGAAGAGAGAAGGAAATAAATAAAAATAAAAAAGAGAGGAGAGAAAACCAAAGAGAAGTAAAAAAAAAAGAGGAGAAAAGAGAGAAGGAAAATAAATTAAAAAAGAGAGAGGAGAAGATAGACGGAAAAGAAAGAAAAACAAAAGAAGAAAAAGAAACATTATAAATATCAAAAGGCATAGTATATAATCACAAAGTTGTATCTAGCATGGTGGATAAGGTGTTGGAGAGTAATGAGGATGGTGGGGTTGAAACCCTATATGTGTGTTTTGAAGTCTTTATTTCTCTATATTTTTTTGCGGGTTGGCGTGTCTTACACGGGTTGACACGACCCATGACCCAACCCATTTAATAAACGGGTTATACATGTGTTTTAACGGATTGACGGGTTGACCCGAAATCCACCCGTTTAATAAACGGGTTGACTCGAAAATTATCCAATTATTAATCGTGCGGGTTCGAGTCGTGTTTTTTCCGTGCGGGTTTCGGGGCGTGTTGGGAATTGCTACCCCTAGTTGTAACGAAGGAGCTACAATCAAAAGAAGTTCAGTGGCATAACCGTAAATATGTCGAAGTCCAGTTTTAAAAAAAAACCCAGAATTTCGCCAGTTTTGGGAGAGCTCGACTAGCCATCTTCAAGGGGCGATTTCTCCCACCTTCGGTCACCGATTCAAGCAAGACTGGTCACATTAGAACCACCACACTTCCCTCTTCCAGCCCCAGCCTTCGCTGCCTCGATCCGCTGCCGTAGTCACCGGAATCAGCCACGAAACCGGCGGTGTTGGATAGATTTTTCTTAAACTTTCACCGGCCGTTTCTCTCCCCTCTGACCACCAAATCAGTCGAGTGAGGTATGGATTTCTAGCTATTTTTCATGTTCTAGCTTCTGGTTGGGTAGGATTTCAAAGATTTCAACCGTAGATCGTTTGATTTTTAAGTTAAGTTTCAGCAGACTTTCGGGTCACTGTTTTGGCCACTTCTGGCTAGTTTTTGGGGTAAGTCCAAGAACAAAAGTGGCTCCAAATAGGGTGTTACACCTATGGTAGAAACCTTGAGCCGTGATTCAGAGTTTTTCCGATGAAGTGATATCGCTTTAGGCACCACGTGTTGCCGGTTCGTGTGGCGGAGCGTGGGCAGCAGGGTAGGAACCAGAGTCAGCCCTAGAGTAATCTCTTAGTTCTCACGAGCGTGTAGGATTTCGTGGATCCTAATTCGGATAACGTTTGAACCCCGAACGGATCTTGCCTAGTGTGCGATTTCCGGGTTCGATACGTTTGAACCATTGGATTGCAGTCAAATTCAAGTATGTTGATCTAGGTAATTTCAGGATCGTATAGCAGTTGACGGATCGTAAAACGGAGTCCCGGATACTCCAAGAATGTCAACCATAATACGAGTTTACTGATAAATAAAACAGTTACAGATAAACGAACCAGTTGCAGATCAGGAATATATGAAAGAACTACGTGTGGCTTGATCCCTCAGTAAGGGTACGTATGTAGCCTATAGTTATCAGGCACAACCACGAGTTAGAGCCTCAGGGTTTGTGTTATTGTTTTTAGGGCATTTTGGTCATTTACGACCCACAGCCTACAGGTGTCAGATTTAAACAGGATTCGACCCGGATTCCAAAGTGAAATTTGAGTCAGGTCGTTTCATATACGAATATAGCGATACGGATATGCGACACGGAGACATGGAGAAAAGACAAATCTCAAAAAATTAGGACACGGAGACACGACAATTAAAATTATAATAATACTTATATATATTTTAAAACAACTATCAGTGAAGTTCAAGCTTTCCAATGCCTTTAAATATAGTTTATTAATTTGATATGAATTATAATTAAATTAACACATTAGTTGACCTTGAGTATGAGTTGACCCGTATCATTAGAGTGTCTTGACCATGTATGTGAAGTGTCTTGACCATTAACACACTACTACAAATATTCAAAAAGACAACGCTGAATACACAACGGTTGGCTCCAAAACCGTTGTAGTTGTTTCTTCCACAACAGTTATTACATAACCGTTGCTAAAAGGGTTTTTAAGCGTTGTGGTTTAGGGTATTGGGTTTTCTGATTTTATTTCACAACTTTCTACAACGGTTTTCGTTTCAACCGTTGTAATTGAAGCCTTAAAAAAAACACGGAGCGAACAGTGGCTCAATATTTTTTCTTAAGCCCCGATAGTTCTCATTCTCTCTTATCCCTCTTTTATCTTTTGTCTCTCACGTCTACCTCTCTCCACGGTCTTGTTCTTCCCACCTCGTCGCCTTGCCTTTGCCACAGCAATAGACAGCGAGACTCTTTGTTTGCAGAAGATTTTGGGTTTTAATCTAACCATTTGGGTGTTGGCTTGCGGTCGCTCTACCTCGATCAACAAAGGTAAAGAAAAAAAATATTTAGGGTTTCAATTTATGCTGCAGCTGTTTGCTGAAGAGGCACATTCCTCGTCGGTCGTCCTCAGAACTCTGACCCAACGACGCAGCCTCTCTTAATTTTAACAGAGACCCATTTCCATTTTCAATCCCCTTTCTCTCTGCCTGCTACTTTCTAAAAATTCTTTATTTTTCGCGTTGTTTTTCATTTAAATTTCTTAAAATTCTGCGTCTTTTCAATGAACCTCAATTCTCAGATCCATGGGAGGCCAACCCATGTTTCTATATAACCCACTTTGTCATTCTCTACCTGGGTTTCACCAATGCCCCAACCCTAACAGATCCCGCCTCACCTGAACCTAACGCTTTCTTGGTTTTGCCTCAAAATCTCAGCCGTCCTAAATTGGTGAGTAGATGAAAGCTGAAGCCACCTTCTGTATTTTGTATATGGTTACTTTTTGTGTTCTGTTTTTACAAGTTACCATTGGATTTGTTCAAACAGGTCAGAAAGGAGACAC